TTCTTTTTGTATTTTTATTGGTCAAAATTATCTCCCAATTAAGAAAAGGATGGTAGATGATGCCTATAAACACTACTGATACTGACAAACAGCACTTCATTTTTCGTATTCTTCATTTCATTTCAGTTCCTTCGAAGTCAAAACACATATACATATTTCATTTTCCTAAATGCCCACAGATTACCATTCCGGAATCCAGCCAGATGATCCCGAAATTCGTACTGGGCTTTAGTGAGATATCGGCACTATCAGCGGGATTGATGGGGGATTTTGCGAGATCTCGACAGGAAAAGTACATCTTGCGAGATCCCAGCAGATTTCATCCTAAAAGTTCGACATGGGAAGTGTCTTGTGTAACAGACACTGTTTTCGTCTCGATTAAAATGTGAAGAAAAACGTACATATCTTCAGTCACACATGTGTCTGCCGTATAAGTTATAAAAAGGAATAAAGGAAAAATGTGTTTTGACCACCAAATATATTTATTGCGAAATGATCACCAAAAAATAAGACTTTTGATCATTACATCAATTAAAGAAAATATATACAAGAAAAAACTAACTTTATGGTAACAAGGCTGTACGAACCTTTTTCGGACGACCTTTACCTTTTCTCTTACCCAGTGGTTCCCAAAGTGTTTTGTCCGTGACCAGATACATGTTGAATAAAATGCTTAATCCAACTGAATGTTTGCAAGTGTATGTTGGATTTGTGCAGATCTGGTCAATGGGCATCATTTGGCGATTTTGTGCCATGGCAGATATCATGTGGGTTAATGGCACCGTTTGCATCGTGTACGTGTGCAATTGGTCTCAAGCAATAGAACTTGAAACGTAAAGTTTTAATTTTTTTAATTTTTCCTATTTTCTGTATATCTGCCTGTTTTTTTTCTTGTGACATGCTTGAATATTGCATATTCTGGTAGACTTATGTGTAAAATATGAACTGGATCTGACACAAGCTTTTTTATGCTTTCATAAATTGATTTTTAATTTCCAGTTGAAAGTGCTGACGCTAAACCCCATTCTGTTAAATTTACTATGCAAAAATGAACTGATTAAAAAATATTATCTCTATAAGTTCTTTAAATTTTTTGTTCTTTCTCACTGACTTTATAACTGGAATAGAAAGAATCTCTAGTAAAGCACCGAAACGAGATTTTAATGAAATGATGAAAGCTTCGACTAGGGATGAGAGATCTTGGCAATCTTCTTTCTGTTTTACCGGATCAAAATTAATTGAAAGAAGAGAAGGAGCTACAATACTGAATACAGCACTACTTTCTGCTTGAATCTGTATAGTGGTTTCAGAATACAAAGCTAACGCATCAACAACTTGATTTAAAATGAAAATATCCTTATTAAAGAAACATAATTACGGTATATCTGGATCTCTCAAAATTTGATTCAGACTTTCCGTAGGAACACGAAGAATTTTACAGACACTGGAAAGGATGAATCTTTTCAGCAACGGAAAGGAATTTTAAAAATCACTCTATATTATTTTTGCCCATGCACAGACGAATCAAAAATAGTGCAAATGACTGTTCCGTCTCTCATCTTTGTGGAGAGCTCGGGCTGGTCTTAACTTGGCAAAACACATGTGGCCAGAGGCTAATGGAGTCGGAGTTTTGGTATTTTAATTTTCAAATTAATGGTGAATGTCGAAAGTCCAAAATTCGAAAAAGGGCTTTTGAACATTTGTCTGATATATTTTGTACTGAAAGTCCGGCTTCTTTGAGTCCGTCGTTAACACACAACTGCAAAGTATGTGAGTAGCAAGGTATTCGAAAAACGCCGATCAATTCCAGGTCGATTTCGTCAGTCTCTTCCGAGTCGTTGCCTTTCTCAGATGAGCCTTCAGCGTCAGAGCCGGAGTCGCCTTCGAAGTCATTTGATGTGCCATCGTCAATGTCGTCAGTCGACTTGACAGAATCCGATTTTTAAATTATGCTTTTTTTTATAGAACTGAGGATTTCCGAGAAACCTTCCAAGGATTTTTCACATTTTAAAGTTCTATTAAGCACCTGAATCAGTGAATGATAAATTCAAAAATCCGACTCTGTCAACGTATTTTCTGTTGGTTTTTTCAACATTTATCTAGCTTTAGAGTATTATCTAGACAAAATATAGTCTTTTTTGACAATCTGAAGTTGGGTGGATGGAACTGACTGAGTTATGAATTTTTTGATTTTTTATGAAAATAATCAAAAATGGGTTATTTCACCTAGTATAGGTTTTCACGTGGCTATTGCATTTTGTTTAGAAAACTAACATTGCTACGTGATTCAGCATAGTCGAAAACCTATTTGGGAAGTGTTTGTTCGATATTATAAGTGAAAAAGTGTGAGTTAGGATGGTCCTTGGAGAATCGTTCCTCGTCGGGAACGGAGAACAGAAAAAATGAGCTCTCTGGGGTTTCGTAGAGGAAGGTTTGCTGATTCGAATCTATAAAAGAACGGGAAAAAATCTTTTTTTTTCGTTCTTTTCTAACCTTGTCTTTCAAAGATGTGAATAGCTTACCACCTGTAGGTGGTAGACCTGCTCCGATTTTTATTTCTCAAGATGTCTTAAGGTGTGAAAACCGCATCTCTTTACCTACTTTCTATCAAAAGTTATTCAAGAAATAGTCAGAAACATTCTTTTTTGAAACGTATAGTAGATGGTATACATGAACACGGTAAAATAGACACCTCTTAACTAATGGCAAAATAATTTGTTCACATCAACATGCGCAAGATTTATGTAGAAAATCGAAGATTTTGTTTTAGATACAAACATGCCTTGAAGGATACCAATAGACAACGAGTTCATAACTCGTTGTGATCGACGGATGTTAAAAAAATCTTCTTTAATGATAGGTGACTACCATATCAATTGTACTTTGTGTATTAATCATCAGTAAAGAATGTTTTATATTTACCAAGAGTGGATGGTTCGCCGGCAACGTTGTCTCAGCTAATTTTCGAGCTTTCGTAAAACATTCTATAGCCATACCGTATTCTTCGTTCGTAAAATGAACATTACCCATATTCGCCAATGTTGTCGCCACATTTGGATGATTATGAGGTAATAATGATAAATGTATTTTCTGTGCTCGTTTGAAATACGCCATGGCTTTATCATTTTCACCACGATCCAAATACACTGTACCCAAATTACACAATGTAGCAGCAACATCCAAATGTTTTTCTGGTAAACAAAGTTCATATAATTTTAAAGAAATATGAAAAGAATGTTCTGCTTTATCACAATCACCCATTTCACTATATGTGATTCCGATGCCATTCATTGTTTTACTAGCACTAACTAAGCGAGGATGTTTTGCCAACCTATGAAGGTTATAGGATTTTCTATAATTATCTAATGCACGATTATATTCTCCTTTGAGACGTAAAGCACGACCTAAGTTATTATATACACATGCCACTTCTTCATCATTTGGTCGATTACGTAATACATTTTCAAAATATTTTTGTGATTTTTCATATTCTCCCATATCAGCGAGTAAATGTCCAAACATTAAAACAATATTTGAATCGGCTAACTTCTTCCTTTGATATTCAATATATTCTTTCGCCAATTCAGCACCTTTATCAGTGGCCGTAGTATTCATGATCCATAGGTTTTCATCTTCGTTCCACGTAACACTATCGATTTTAAATGCCGCACCTAAATAAAATGGAACGATTGCAAGCCAAATGTACCATGTCTTGAAAAAAATGACCACCCATATGATTCTTTGGATTCTTAACCGAATAAATTAAAATTTTCAGAATAGACATCTCACAGTCATAACGACTAAAATCAACCATCAAATTATTAGTTATCATGTGACTTAAAAAGAGACTATTACTTTTCATCAAAAATAGACATGACAGCGTCCACTATCAACCGTTTGTCACTTGTCCGATCGAATAAAGTATTATCTCACTAGTCATGAGACCTTTCGTATGCGTAAAGTGCTCTTTCTCCTTTCAATGCTGTATATTCTTTGCCTGCACAAATTAAGTCTTAAACACTTATATGTACTTGATCAACTGATGAGAAACAAGCATATGTGCAAATGCTCTAAATTCTCCAAATTAGAAGATCATCCTTGGTAAAAAGTTCGAAAAATCGCTGTATCTTTCTTAAGGAATTTGGATATTTTTTGACGGAACACAGTGGTCTTCTGTTCTAGTATCCTGCTCAATCTAACAATATAGGATGCGCCAGAAGTCCTAACGCATTTTTAGATTAAATTTTTATTCATGCTGACTTTCGTCCAAAAAATTTTGTATTTAGTTCAAAAGATAGAAAATTTAATTCTCAGACAACTATCAATTTGGTTTCGAACATAACAAATCATTTTAGTATTTTTATGTCTACATTGAAGATTCAAAAAACAATTTCAAAACAAAATCAACAGTTTTCTAGAGATTAAATTCTCTATCTTTTGAGCTAAATACAAAATTTTTAAACGCAAGTCAATATGAATAAAAATTGAATCAAAAAGTGCTTCAGGACATCTGCCTGAATCACGAACTCTCCTTCCTCAGAATCGCGAACTTCATTTTAGAAGGTCCTCCAGGGGTTTATTCTCCTCCAATAGGTTAAGTTTCTTCCAGTACGGCATTATTCGAGTCTCAAACCCACTGGTTTTATTGTTGCTCTTATGTGTGCTTATAATTCATTAAAAGATCGATTTTCAAATAACTGATGAACGAAAGTAGCTAGAAAGCTTTGGCTTTCACCATTCCGAAGGGGAAACTTGAGGACATGTTTCCATAACCAGAAATGTTTTCACAAGTGTTTCTCAAAATAGGTTTTCTTGGAGGTCTTTTGAAAATCTGACTGTGCCTCAAAAATTTCCAAGATTATATCGCTTTTCTTTCATGGGTTGATAACTGAGAGTGTTCTCTTTAAAATGGGAATCAAGCGAGATCTGGATATTCACTGGTTCGGATATGGTGTCGGATTTCCTTCGAGTCCCAGTACTAGTACCAGGTATCCGGTGACTATGCGTGACAGCAGAAATAGGGGCATTAAAGATAATCTATCATACTAAGTCTCATGGAAATATTTCTTTTTAGAAAAAGATTTTAAAATGTAGCGAAAACCAAGTTAGAGTGTCCGGGCTTTTTCATTTAATATTAAAAAGTTTAAGATGCATCCAAAAAACAACACGAGGTAGATGAAGCGCTTGCTTAGGTCTTGTTTTGTAGATGACACTTTAGTCCATTTATTTATGAAAAAATGGTTGAGAATCGACCTGCTTTTGGTTACGATTCTCTTTGTTCTAATAATTAAACGTGCCGTTCTTTACATCGACAGTTTCCTTCTGCCAATATTCATTCGTACTGAAAGTGTACTGCAAAAGAAATAACTAAAAAATTATATCACTCAGTTTAAGCATACTTTCTTCAGAGCTGAAGTATATGTATAAAGTTTTGCTGAAATTTTCTAAATGGAACACAGGAATTAGTTACTGTACAAGCGATTATCTTAAATCAGGCAAAGTGTCAGATTTATTGCCCAATCGGACAAGACTCGTAAAACTTTACACAGTCAGGGTATCGTGAGGGTTGTTAGCGGCACTAGTACTTCTCTAGTGAATGTACTTGAGATTAAGTACTTAGCTACTTGCAAATTTTCTAAAATACTTGGTTAAGCACTTGTCAAGCATTTTTAGATTTAATATGTACCAAGTACTCGGAAGAACTTCGGATACTTGTCTATATTTGGCAAGTACTTACCAAGTTACCTACCAAATACTTGATGAAGTACTTATCTAGTACTTATATTTGTTAAACTACTTGATAAGTAACCTTTTTTTACTTTCAAGAATCTCCAGGTACTCCGGATATAAACTTACCCAAGTACATTCACTAGGGTCAATTATACCGTGTGTATGCTGTCTGTAGTTACAAAATCATTTATTTCTCTCAAAAAGCTTTTCATGAGCTTTCAAATGCAAAATGAAGTTAAGGAACAGTCATCAATTCACTTAGAAACCATAGTTCAATCTCCAGCACAGGTTCTGTTGATTCCTGCAAAAATAAAAGAATGATCACAAGAATGATCATTGTTTCCGATAACAAACGGCCAAGTTTCAAGACAAAAAGAATACTTAAATAATGTAATTGCCTTTTAAGTGTCTGTGCTATCAATTCTGAAAACTGGAGCCAATTTTACTTTCCTTTTAAATCTCTTTGCATGGGAGGGAGTAAAAACAAGATTTTGTACAAGCATTTTTCTTCAAATCAATACAGTACAAACGGTAAGTTCGGCTTACAATTGTTACAAATTTTGAATATAGCGGTAAACATACAATTTTAACTATCTGAAATGATCTACTCACCCAAATCAAAAAGAACTTCTTCCTCATTCGGAAATGCACTGTATTCTGCAATATCGGCTAATATAATTTTTTCCACAACATTTAAATCGACAGTAATGTCAAATAGAACCGCTTCCACATTTGTCCTTATCCCTACTGCTGAAGCAAAACTAGATGCTATTATACGTGAACGACTCGTTGATAAATATCCATTAGTTGACATCAAATTACCAATATTACTTTTTAAATTTTCGATTTCATTTGGACCCATTTGTAGACCACGATAAAGTTTAATGACGGATGTTGATTGTTTTTGTTGTTTTCGTTTTAGTTCTTTAAATTTTTTTTCTAAACTCAAGCATAAATCAATAATATAAAAACGAAACGTATATAGTGCTTCTACATCTTCTGTTCTTAATGCTTTGTTCACAAGACGAAATAAAAACGATTCTTTAGTGTACCAAGGTATCGCTTCCGTTGATTTATAGTTTTGTTCAAACTCTTTAATATTGTCCAGTTCTGTTGTATTGCCACGATAATAATCACGACATTTTTCGATCATATCTGCTTTCGCTTGTGATGTTTTTGGCATATCCAACAAAACATCTTTGAATAATTGAAAAAATAGAAATGAACCAGAATCTTTTGTCAAATCTCGAGTAGTTTTTTGTGTTTGATCGTAGAGATTGAATGCTTGCGATTGATGATCAATTTGATTTATATTATTTTGAATATCTTTCATCAAATTCGATCGATCATTAACGAAACTAACTATTTTTGAATATTTGCCCTTTAAAAATGTCTTATCATGCCGTTTATCAAATTCCTCATCACAATGTATATAGATGGAATCAATTTGTATTAGTTTATTTGTCTCTTCCAATACATCTACTAAATTATGTATAGTAGATAAAATTAAAAATATTTTCTCTTTTTCTTTTGAACGAATACTATCGATTAAAGCTGACTGTTCATTGTAAAATAGAATATGACCATCTGTTTCAGAAATTAGTGCTATTTCACTTTTCAAATCAGGATTGAATGCAACTAACGTTATTTCATCGTGATTTGAGCTTAATTGTGTTTCACCAATTGTTATGTGAGCAAATGGATTTAACGCGCTTAGTGCACTGATCTTAGGTACCCGAACCGGCAGTTGTTGTTTCGTTCCTCTACATTAAATGAAAGACAAATGTCATTCGAGAGTAGACTAATGGATCAGTATGATAGACTTTTTTTAAAATGGATGAGAAACAACTGACAAACAAAATGAAGCAATGATCTCGGTAGGTGAGTTCGAGAATATGCATACGAAAAGTTCTAATTTGACTCATATACGAGCTACGTCTCGCGAATGCTGGCAGGTGAAGTAGGAAAACTTTTATTGCAAGCATACTCCAGTAAGAGCAACATACTTTGAAAGTTTCTCTTAGATCGGACTGATCGTTCCTGAGATCTGTTTCTCACGTGAGGGGGAGAGGAGCTTACATCACTAAAAAAATAAAAAAAGCCTCGGTATTGATAATATTCCATTTAAATACTTAAAACTAAGTGCAGGTATTTTATATATCACCACCATTATAATTACATCTTTTGTATCTTAATTGGCAAAGGACTATTATCTTGATGTATGAAAGTTTGTACTAATAAGAGCCATTCAAAAATGATAGTGATAAAAATAACGCTAAAAACTTTTGTCCTATCTCTTTCATATCAAATGTAAGTAAAGTTTTTTGAAAAGATAATACATATAGAGTTTTTAACATAAAATAATTTCTTTTGTGTTCAACAATTTGGTTTTCTTCCTCGGTCATCTAGAGGGATGTCAGAGTTATTGCAATTCAGCTATTCTACAGAATTCTATAGAATTCTACCTTACTACACATATACAATATATTAGCCGAGTGCGAGACAAGCGGAAATGTATAGAATTCTAGGTGAGGAACTATGTCTGCCCTAACCTAGAATTCTATAGAATTCTACGTTAGCATTGATTCACTTTTTATTGACCAAGTTTGGGCCAAGCGGAAATGTAGAGAATTCTAGGTGATCAACTATGTCTGTACTAACGTAGAATTCTATACATTTCCGCTTGACTCAAACTTGGTCAATAATAAATATATCTGTACTAACTTAGAATTCTATACATTTTCTAGATTTCTGTTTTGAGAATAACTCGGACTTATCATGTTTCAGCTGTGAAAAGGTTGTTGTAGAATTCATAGGGAAAATGTAGAATTCTATAGAATTCTGTAGAATGTCTGAAATGTAGGAATTCTGCCATTGCTGGTCATCTATTCTACATTCTCTAACTTATTTAACAAATTTTATTAATAAATGTTTAATTGATAAAAAGAAATCAATAGAAATGTCATTTGATTTTGAAAAAATGTTTGATAGAGTACCGCATCAAATTCTTTTAGGAAAATTATTACATGCTGAAATTAAAATAGATCTGTACAAATGATTTTCATCTTATCTCTCCAACAGATCACAAATAGTTTTGCAGAGTCTGCTGTCATAGAAGGAGTACTCGATCATCAGTACTACCCAATGATCGGTACTCATGTCAGGCTGTCAAACTATGCTTTTGGATTTATGGCATATTCAAGCTCAGTTTTGCTGGTTTATCACAACAGATTTTGCTGGGAACCGATGTGATAAACCAGCAAAAACTGAAGTTGAAAATGTCATAAATACAAAAGCATAGTTTGACAGCCGGATATGAGTACTGATCATTGGCATATGAGCACTAAAATTTCCAGAGGTATCGGACGAGAAAACCGATCTTCAAAATCAACATATTTCATATTCCACCCCGTCTTGAGCTCATCCGTACAACAACTACTTGTACGAAATGAATTTATAGTTTATAGTGCAGATACACTTATACAATAGATATAAATAATATTAAATGCAATAACATATTTTTCAGGTGAAAAGAAATTGTGCGCAAGTCTTCGCGCTAGTAAATTCTTCCTTGTTATCGTATATATGTTCACTTTTATATACTTATTTCAGTCTGTTTTTAGGAGTTCATAACTTTTGAAGGAAGGAAGTTTCGATGAAAACTTTGAGGAATCTTCCTAAGTATGCTCCTACCTACTCTGCAAGTATAAACAAAAAAACTCAGACATTGACTGAGCAACTTAGGTCGTCCCTAACGTACAATGGCTCTTAAACTCATCTTTTCTTTTCTTTTCCTTTCTCAATGCTACGGTAACGGCCATATTGAATATACCATATGCGAAAATTAGGACCGATGAACGACGATAGTTCTAAGGCTGAGAAACTAAAAATAGGGACATGATGAGTAATTATAAACAAGAAAGCAATACATTTCTTAAAGTGCATTTAAATGCACTTTAAGCAATTTTAAAGATGAAACGTTCTTAAGCGAACTGTTATTTCATCGTTATTCTCTCACACCACTTCGAAATTTTGTTCACGCATTCCTGTATTGCGTGTATATTTACATTTTCCAGATCAAAGTAACAACACAGAAGATATTGTTGGCTAAAAGAAAACTTAGTTTGAGGATTTCAAGGGAGTCGGAAAAATTGGACCAAAAATACTTCTTCTCTGGGGCACGTCAGATGTAACGGGTACTCTTTTTAAGACAGCAGACTACAAAACTATTTGAGATCAATTGGACAGATGACATGCAAACCATTTGAACAACTACAGACTAGACAAACATGAGCATGTTTCCAGACTTACTTTAGTACCTCTGAAGACCTTCTGAAAACCCTTCAAAAAATTTGTTCTTATTTTTATTGAATTCTACGCTGAAATTTAACTATATGATGAAGTTTTGAAGATTTTATCTTGAAACATTGTTTCAAGATAGTTGTTATTACAACATATCGAACCTTCATGAAGCAGTCGAATAGAAGAAAAAGATAAAATTGATTTTCTCCATGAGACGCCCAATTTTGGAGAAAGTCTCTGACTCTTTTGTGAAAGTCCTCTTATATCTCCGAAAGAAAGAGGAATTGAAGTTTCTACTCGAAAACCCTTGATTTTTGCCATTTTTTAACTATAAAATTAAATTGGAACATTTTTTCTTTCTATCGAAAATTTCATTAAAATTAGCCTATTTATACAAAAACTAGTATTTTAAAGTTTGTTAACTTCAAAATCCAGTTTCAAAGTCTAAAAACTAGTTTTCCCTGTGTAAGTTGATGCGCTCTATCCATGACAAAAAAAAGGGAATTTCTTTTTGCTGAATTACCAGAACCTTACTTGTTAACTGTTTCCCTCACAATATAACGACTTATCTCAAAAGTCTTATATCCAGAATAGCTTATCTTACCTAAACTACGTTTCTGCTACATGTTTGGGAGAAAAATCCTGCTATAAGACTTAGCTTTATCTATACCTCCGCTGTTTTTCAACCACCCATAGGTCATCTCACACTGGTATTGAAGATCGTCGAAAATCTGATGTCACTCTTAAACCATAATAGATGAATAATCGGGATGGCTCCCATTCTCCAGTGGATACTTTGTATTGTCTATCTATTCAGGTAAATAAACAAAATATACTTCTATTTTATACTTTGAAAATCTGACTATCTTTTCGAAGAACTTATGAAAATCATAGTTGGGAAAAGATTTTAAAATTAATTTTTATGAAACGATGTGCCAAAATATAAAAATCTGAAACTCGAACTCGCTATCTTTTTTGTGATAGCTTCCAAGGACACGAATTTAACGCGTTCTAGCTAGAAATGAAAACGCGTTTTACTTTTTCAAAATTTATAAGATAGTTTCTTTAAAAAGTAAAACTCGTTTCGTAGATTGAAGTCACGAAATTAGACGTTTCTATATCAAATAAGTGATTGAAAAACGTGTTTTGAACGCAAATGTTCTTCACTGTGTGTCGCGTTTTACGTTCTACAGTTGTAGAAAGTTGTGTTTGGAGTTTAAATAACTTTAATTTCTCAAGTTTAAAAAGAAGATTTTGTTTTTCGTCAAATAAAAGAGTACTGTTATTCTTTCATAGTACTAAAACGCAATAAATTCCTTATGTTCTTATAGGAACTGTGATTTTCGTGTTCGAAGTAAGTACAATACACCGCTTCTCGCGTTTCAATGAAGTTATATTTCTTTCTGTCTTTTTTCGATGACTCATCGACTAACCGCGTTGCTGGATGAGTCATCACGATGACAGATCTACGATATTTGGTTTACAAGGATTTTTGAGCCTCGTTAATCTCAGAGGCAACGTACTGTCCGAAATTATTTTTTTGATCATCAGTAGCACTCTAGATAATCTATCAACTGTCGTACTTCAACTGAATACACGATGTGTACTGTTGACTCTGGAAGTTCGGAAAGTTCAGAGAACATGAAAACTTTTTTTTAAACGAATTTCTCGCGGTCATTTTTTCGTAAACAGAGTTTCACGCGATATTTTGAGGCTAAACTCGCGTTAAAACGACTTCTCAAAACATATAGGTGACTGACTGGGTAATCTTAAAACGATAATATTGAGCAGCGACCATTTTTTGCTACGTATGCCAGATTTATTTTTCATTCTATTTATTTAGATCGATGGTAATTTGTATATATTAAATGCCTCGAAAACAAACATTTTATAAATCCGCATTAAGAAAGAATAAAGATTCATCTACTTCCATCCGATAAATTATCACACTTGCGAAGGGAAATTATACTACTGAATGTGCTGATTCTATATTTGCTGGTATTAGATAGATTTACACATAGACACTTATTCCATTCCTAGCATATGAAAAACACTCGTATTGTCAATAACTATTGCAGAGCCCTGCAAGTTAAACCTAACCTAGCCTAACCTAATCTAACCTATAGCTTATGTTAGGATTAGGTTGCAAAAGTTATAGGTTAGATTGTAGGTTGTGTTTTATTTTTTTCGATTTCTTTCTACTTTTGCGCAAGCGAAACTTTTTTCTGATTTTGAGGGATCCCTAATACTTTGAAAGGTCGGGTTGGGCCAGAAAAGTTTTAGAATTGGTCGGACTGGGCCAGATAAATTCTACGTTTGGTGGGACTGAGCTGGGCTTGGTCCGGAAACTTTCATCATCAGGCCGGGTTGGGTCAAAACTGGGACCTTGCGGATCTCTGATTAGGATTAGGTTGCCGTCTTCATAGGTCAGGATTAGACTGCGAAATATTTTTAAGGTGAGGGTTATAGGTTGTCAAAAAGTGGCAACCTGGAGGGTTCTGGACTATAGCCATTGCTAATACGATGTAGGGTAAGCCGACATCATAAACTATAGCTTATGTCAGCTTACACTAGGAAAAAATCCGTTTTTTGATTCGACGCATCGTCATCTTGTTAAAAAGATGACGATATTCTACAATATTCACTAATTTCCACGCCTATGGACATCCGGGGGTAAAGGGTTATAGTTGGCGTGGTGTTCGATGCTTTATATAAACTATGGAACATGAAGACTCTCGCTTTACTCTATTGTCGTCGTACTAAACTGACTATTTTTGTACTAACTGTTTGAGATTCTATTAATTTAATCTCTATTCTAGTTAAACTTTCTCAACTTACCGACCGCCCGCTTTTATTAGACTCTTAAACTTATGCCAGTTAACTTTTGCCATTTTTCTTGCGACAAAACAAATAATAAAAGAAGCGTTCGTTTGTTGTTTTGTTAAATGCAAAAGTTATTTAAAAGAAAACTACTCTATAAAGCAATCATGTGGAACAGTTAACAATGGGCACATGAAAAACACATTTCTTTTGGATTAGATATGGTAGTTAAAACGACATTACATTCCCATTTTAGAAAAAAATTCTATTTTTGAGTTAAAGAGCATACATAATAGATTGAACCGCATACGACATGAGACAATCTCCAGCTCTTTTCGACTGTTTGTTGATACGAGACGACATTATTTTTTATAGTTTATCATGAATTTGTAATGGAAATTGGCAAAAGATTACATCATTCCGTTCCTTCTGGTAGGATTTAAGCACAGGAAGTTGAAAGAAAACTTTTTGATCGTACAGCTTTTGTTTTTGAACAAATTTACTTTTCACTATCAAAAAGTGAATAAAACACGCCGTTCATGAATATTTTACCCATCTTGCCGTTTTCACCCCTTAGTTTTTCTGAATTTAGAAAGACAAACCGAAAATTATTCACTTAAACAGAACGAACGTTCAGAATTTTGCTTCAGTTTTCGATTAATCTTTGCATTTTAGTTAAAATAGTAACGGTATTGTTCTAATAGTTTCAAAACTGCTTTCTTTTTGCTAGGTTTCGCTGTGTAACATTATAGTCTCCATCAAATTTCATTTGATCAAACAAAACATTTTAGAAGAAGTACTCAGCACTCTATTACAGAGATATTTTTTTAAAATGTTTTTCACACCAAGTTACATAAAAGTCAAATTTTTCTTTTTTAAACTCTATCGTTCGATAAGGATAAGTCTCTCAAACGATCAAAAAATATCTCTGCAAGAGAGTATTGAATACTTCTGTTAAAAATTTTAACTCAATCAAATGAGTGTTAGTAAGTTTAATTAACGTATAAATTGAAAACTTGTGCCAATTAAAATTGTAGTAACGCTCTCATGTTCACATCAAAGACAAATATCTCGTTTTATGCTTAGGGTCGACCAAAACTTCGTAGAACGGTGATTCCGCCCTCCTCTCCTCACACCGTGATCAAAACTTTTGGTCAGCCTTAACCCTTTGAGGACCGATTTTTTTTTCCAATCGAAATCAACATGTTTAATCTTTTTATTTTATTTTAATTCAAAATGGCTACTTGAAAATACTGTGATAGTCAAAAAAACAGTTTTTCCATCTTTTAAACAAAATGACAATTTGCAAGTAAAGCACTCGATGTTAGATCGAAAATTTGTTTCCTTTGTACTACAATAAGCACAAGTGCTTCTTTTTCCTTTC